CTTCAGTTTATCCTGGGAGTTTTATTCGGATATTTTGATATGTTTTGACATCAGTTGATTTGATAAACTTATTATGTCATTTTGAGACGCATGATCCATGGATTTATCTTTTAATATTTGATATTATGGTTTAGTAAAGTTTTCAAACGAAAATTTTTGGGTTGTATTTTTGGGATGTTTCATTTAGCGGGTCGAAGGCACCAATGTCATCCCATAGTTTGTTATGCTTAGTATGCTTGTTGTCTGTGTGGCTCTCGCATGGGTTATGTGTTTATGTTTACCGAGCGGTGCTCAATGCCGGGCGGGGCCCGATGCCAGGCGGGGCCTGATGAGTATATTGTATGCTAGTTATCTGTATGTGTTTTTATGATTACCGGGTACAACCCGATGCCGGGCGTGGCCCGATGATAGGTATGTATGTTATTTATCTATGTGATTATGGCATGTGGTGTGTGTTATATGTTTATGTGTTTATATGTTTACATGTTATATGTTTATATGTATACCGGGCGGGGCCCGATGCCAGGCGGTACCTGATGACTTACAGATCTGTATACCGAGCGGTGCTCGATGTCGGGCGGGGCCTGTTATGTGTTTATTTGTAAATGTATTGTATGTGGTATTTTGGGGAACTCACTAAGCTTCGTGCTTACGGTTTTCAGTTTGTGTTTCAGGTACATCCGGGTGCAAAGGGAAGAGCACGAGCTGACTGCATCGCACACACCACTGGGATTCCGTATATGATATTCTACTCTGCTTTTTATGTCGTTTGATACATTGGTTTTCTTTTGAGTTGTATGTTTGGTTTGTGAAAATACTATCTTATCTATTTAAAAATGAAAATTTTGGGACCATATTTCTGGATGTTACATGATGCCTTTAGCCTAGGAGTTTTCTCTTATAGGATTGAATCTGTCATTGGTATTTGCTTGGTGTATGCTGCAGAATTGTACATAGTTAGGATTTTATAGCCTTAGAATGCCTGATTTAGCATTTCTTCCCATTCCTTGTTTGGTTGTGGATTTGAGGTACAATCATTTATTCTAATGTCTACCGAGTCTCGTATTGTGTACGATTGGCATGCGCAAAGCAAATGGCGAGGATAGTGGAGATCTTGTGAGGTGGAGCAGTGTTGGGAGCTGTCTAGACTGAGTACCCAGTTGTTTAGTAGTGGTTCTGAGGAACCAGCAGGGCGAGTGTATAACTGATCTTGAGAAATAGAGTCCTTGTGACTTAGGATCTTGAGAGGACGAATTAAGACACATACATGTTGGTGTGGAAGGTAGTATTGGGCCAGTAATACTGAAAGCACCGGATCCGTACGCGGCTCAAGAAGGAGTCTTAAGGAATTAAGGAGCTTGCAGGAGAGTGTGGATGTTTGTGTATGCGCTTTAGCCTAATTCTGATGGTCATTTTGTGTGTTTCAGTATGGTGGTTACCTGAGGTTTAGGCTCTAGTGACCCCGAGAGGCCGAGTGCCAGTGATGATGAGATCCGTAGGATTGTTGCCGCCGAGGTGGCCGCGACGATCAGAGAGGCTAAACCAGATATGTTTGGGTCTATTAAGACCACATTGATTGAGACTTTTGATGAACATTATGTCGCCATCACTGAGGCTGCTGCTGCCACAGGCACTGCAGCCATTGCTGCTGCGAGACTGCAAGGGGGTGATTCGTTGTGGTATCGGGAGTTCAAAAACACGAAGCCACCAGAGTTTGATGGGACCCAGGATCCAATTGTTGCGATGAGATGGATTTCTGATGTTGAAGGTTATTTTTACACTTGCTCCTGTCCGGAGAATCTGAGGGTTCGTTTCGCGCTGAACCTGCTTTGCTTGGGAGCGAAGGATTGGTGGAAATTTGTGACAACTGATTATACTCTTGCAGATCATTCTGTAGTGACCTGGGAGAGATTTACTGAAATATTCAGAGATGAGTTCGTACCAGTGGTTGAGAGAGCGAGAGAGAGGTTGGCCCAGGAATTCTTGTTTCTCAAGCAGAAGATAGAGACGTCGACTGAGATCACCAGGATGTTTCATGAGAGGGCCACGTTTTGCCTTGAGCATGTGTCGACTGAGCAGGCACGTGTGAGTCGGTACCTGAGTATTATGAGGAGGGATATCCGTGAGTTCGTGGCGAACACTTCGTATCGGACATTGGCTGAGTTGTAGACTAATGCCAAGAGGAGGGAGATCGAGCTGGAGACCCAGGTGAGAGAGGAGAGGGAGACTCAGTCCAGATGGATTCTGGTACTCTTCTTTGACTTTGGAGCAAGTCAAGCATTTACTTACATATGTGGCAATCTCTACCTTCATGTTGGGCCACCAATAAAGTTTCTTAAGATCGAGATACATCTTATCTTATCTGTGATGTATCGAATATTTCAACTTATGAGCTTCATTTAAGACTAGACTTCACCAAACTTTGGGGTCCAAATTCGGTTCATGAAATATCATGTTCCGTCTTCCTTGAGGTCAAACTATTTGTTCATTCCTCGTAGGTTTTCTTCTATGGGATTTTCGGGTTTGAGTGCTTCCAGCTGAGCGTCTCGAATTTTGGTGGTAATATTGGAGTGGATTGTTATGGTTAAAGCCTTTACACGAAGTGTATTTTCTTGTTCTTTCCAGCTCAAATCATTTGCTACGACATTCGCTTTACCAGGATGATAACGATTTTCGCATTCGTAATCATTTAGCAATTCGACCCACCTTCATTGTCTCATGTTGAGCTCCTTCTGATCGAAGATGTTTTGAAGGCTTTTGTGGTCGGTGAACACGATACACTTCATTTCGTATAGGTAGTGTCTCCAAATTTTTAAGGCAAACACTACAACTCCTAATTCTTAGTCATGGGTAGTGTAGTTGGTCTCGTTTGGCTTAAGTTGTTTGGATGCCTATGCAATGACTTTATTCCTTTGAATCAATACCCATCCTAACCCTTGGTGAGAGGCATCACAGAATACTACAAAGTATTTTGTTCCCTCTGGAAGAGAAAAAATTGGTGCACTGCACAACAATTATTTCAATTTCTGGAAGGTAGACTCTTGTTTGCTCCTTAATTGAACTTATTGTCTTTCTGGGTTAGAGCGGTGAGAGGCTTGGATATTTTTTTGAGAAATTTTCGATGAATCTCCGGTAATAGCCCGCAAGCCCTAGGAATTAGCGTACGTCGGTTGGCGTTGTTGGTGCCTTCCTATCCCTAGCCGCTTCGATCTTCGCGGGATCAACATAAATCCCTTTGCTACTGACCATATGGCCAAGAAAATGCACTTCGTTCATCCAGAACTCACATTTGGAGAACTTTGCATAAATTTTCTCCTTTCTTAACAGTTCCAGAATTAATTGCAAGTGTTGTCCATGTTCTTACTTGGTTCATGAATATATTAATATGTCATCGATGAACAAGATCAGAAATTTATCCAAATAGGGTTTATACACCCGATTCATAAGATCCATGAATACGGCTGGTGTGTTGTTCAGTCCGAATGGCATAACCATAAACATCTTAGTGAGCGTACCGAGTCCTGAATGTTGTATTTGAAATGTCAGCTTCTTGAACTTTGTGTTGATGATAGTCGGATCTCAGATCGATCTTTGAGTAGTAGTAGGATCTTTGTAGCTGATCAAACATGTCATTGATACTCAGGAGTGGATATCAATTTTTGATGGTGAGTTTGTTTAATTCTCGATAGTTGATGCACATCCTGAATGATCCATCAAAAAACAGATTTTTCGACGAAAAACAAATGAAAAATGTAAAAAACATATAGGATTTGTAAAACAAGTGGAAAATGTCTGAAACTGACCATCTTATTTGTAGAAAACAGATAAGATTTCTCACTATCTTATTTGATAGGATAACAGTCAGACATCTTATTTGTAAAAAAGAGAAAAAGATTTCTATTTTAATACTTCATTAATTTTTAACCAAAACTATAGGGGCTAGTTTGTAAATATGATAAAGCGGGCGAGAAATCCCGACGAAAATCATCTATGTTCAGTGTACATATTGTGAGATCTCCTCCCTTAGCCCCACCAACCATTTCATTCTTGAATTGAATCGCGAGGCTAAAAAGAACTCTAGAGTGTTTCAACAAGAAGGAACTTCTGATTCGTTTTCGCAGATCAAGGAGAGAATTTGCTGTGTGTTTTCCCAATTATTCGACGAAAAACAAGTGGAAAATGTCTGAAACTGGCACTGAAAATCTGTTCTCCTATCTTTCCGACGATGTTGTTCTAAACATATTTTTCAAGATCGAAGATGATCCTCGTAACTGGTCTCGTCTCGCTTGCGTTTGTACTAAATTCTCGAATATGATTCGCACGATTTGCTGGAAAACCAAATGCCATCAGACAATCCCTTCCGTCGTCTCCGATCTCCTCCAATCGAACACTCCAATCACCTCTTCCATCTCTCCACCTGGCGGCTGGGCGTCCCTTCACAAGCTTTCCGTTTGCTGCCCTGGCCTCCTCCACTCCGGCGTCCTCCTCGAAAATTCAGATCTCGGGCTCGAACGCGAACTAGGTCCAGATGAAAACTATCATGAAACTAATCTGTTTCAACCGGGTAAATCCGTATCAAATCCTTCTTGTTCTAGAATTACTGACGATGATAAGATGAAAGAGCTGAAAAGTTCCGTTAACAGCTCTGATTGTTCTTGGTCTTTGTACGACGATCTCTACTATGATTCTGCTTACGGTAATGTTTGCCATAAATCCGAGGAGGTTTCTGAAGAAGGAACAGAAGGTAACGACGGCATTGTTGTTGTTGTTGATTTTGGTGTCTGTAAACGAAGAAAAATTTGTAGATCTTCAAGGTCCCATTTGGCATCTGGTGCTTGGAATTTGAGCCGTGAGCAAGGAAATAAATTGTTGGCAAGTCGATTCAGGGGTGATTGTTTATACATTTGTGATTGGCCTGGTTGTGTGCACATCGAGGAGAAGCGTAATTACATGCTTTTTAGGGGGGTGTTCAAGGATTTTAAGAGATCTAGGGTTTGGAGGACGATTAAAGATGGGAATCGCAGCAGAATTGATTTGAATTGTGCTTATTGTTCTATTAGTCAAGTGTATGACTTGCATGCGGCTTTCTGTTTGCGGCCTGCGTATGGGTTTCATGACGATGGGGAGCCAGTTGTTCGAGCTTATGTCTGTGAGAATGGGCATGTGTCTGGTGCGTGGACCGATTGGCCCTTATACACGTAAAAATTTAAAATGCTTAATCCATATCCAATGCTCCTTCTTTCTTTCTTTCACTTAGATGCATAGATTATTTCCAAGCTCATATCATTTACTAACTTAGAGATGAATTTTGAGCATATATTATGCTATATGTTATCAGTTAGATGCTTCTGTCTTGCCATTCCGTGCCTTGAATTATTCTGAACAATGGCAATGTGCAAGCTTTAGAAATGGATTTACATATTGTCAGTTTTTATGAGTTTAAGTGTGTGCAAGAATCATCCTTCCAAATTGCATGTTTTATGTAAGGGATTACTGCCAACCAGATTTTGTTTGTTGTTCCCTCATCTTTATTTGGTTTGGTGGGAAACATATTAATATATATGATCTTAATTTCACCCTCAGAAATCAGAATAGATATGTCGGTACAGAGATTTCTGGCTCCACAATTAGTAAGGTCATACTCATACAATACATATTAATTTTAATTATACCAACTTGCAAAACATACATTTCGTAAGGCCTAAGCATCTTATTGAAAAACATATCAAAACAATTATTTTTTCATATGGATTGAACAGGTTGACCAACAATCGACTTTTTGTTATTTTCTAAGGTTTGCGACTCAGCAAGTGCAAGTGCAGAAATCTCAAAATTTTTACAATATATATTGGCACAAAAGATTCTTTAAAAAATTTATGTGATTTAGGTGGAATAATTGCATCCCCTAGTCGCATAGTAAAACCATCAAATTTCATGCATGTAAATTTGTAAGTTCAAATTTTTTAAATATTCAGAACATTTGATACCTAAAACTTATATTTAAATGCTTAAAGTTTCATTTTTTTAATCGTCAAGATTGATCTACAAAACAAAACCGAGCAGTAGCAAAAGGCTGTCAAGAGAATTAATTAACTGAAGCAGGTTTTATTAAGATAATGACAATCGACTATAATTAAGATGTTTATAGTGTAAATACAAAATACATACACAAATATTTGAAGTTGCAGGTAGTTTTAGTAAGGAAATACACACCAATAATTTCTTAAATCTTCAACCTAACAAATAAGCAATAACAATGGTAGAAGGCCCAGATTTGGAAGAATAAAGGCACCATTTGTGACATGATGTTCAGCTCAATCCTCTCAATGTTTGGTCTTGGGCTTCTTCACTATCATCACGGTGCAATGGGCATGATGAGTAACATAGTCACTCACACTTCCCAAAACCGCCCTACAAAAAACCAAAAAACAAAAGCACTAGTTTTGTAGGGTGTTAAAATACTTTGGGTACATTAAACACAAGAATGAAGATTTGATAGAATGCATTCCCAAATCCATCTGATCTAAACTGCAATTAGTTTCCAACAGTCGAGTTGATGCATACATAAGTGATAAGTAAACAAGATTACCTTTTAATTGCTCCATAACCATGGCTACCAACTACCAATATGGTGGCATGGTGCCTCTCTACAGCTTCACATAGAACGTTCCTAGCATCGCCTTCCACAACTTCCACATTCACATCATCTACCTACAATACAAAATCATCATCATCTTCTACAAACGATCCAAACAATTAAAATGAAACCAAAAATTTCAGATGCGTTACTGATACGGCCTAGGGTTACTTTATAGTTTATACTCAAAGTTTCGTTTTGTTTGCGGAGTAAATTGCAACAACGAGTTGACATCTATCCGCAGAGTTAGATTCCACTGAAAAGATGAAACAAAGTACAAACCGATTTCGAATGGCAAAGCTCTTTTGCCCTTTCCACCACTCGAGCAGCGATCTTCTTCAAATCCGCATCCACAAACGGAAAAACATCCGCCGCACCTGAATTCAATAGACAATGGTATGCGATTAAACAAATTAATTAGCATCCAATTCCAAGACACAGAAAAGTAGTGGTATAAAGTGTCAGATCAATTGATTCACCAGGACCCGCGAAGCCGATTGCAGAAGTAGGAGAAGGCTTGGAGTGAACGACGATTAGTTTGAAGGGAGAATTGGGAGAAGATGGAGTTAGGAAGTGATCCAAAGTCCACTCAAGTGCGTAAAAGCTATGCTCGCTGTCATCTACTCCGACGATCATCACCGGCACCGGTTTCTGTTCCGCTTCCATTTTTCACACTTTAGCTTTAGCTTCAGCTTCGTTCGCTGGATTTCTATACTCTCGTCTCTACAAATACTTGTGCTGTGCAATGTGCATACGTAATTCCAGAATAGCCGAGATCGAACTTATTCCACGGAGAATTAACGCCGTTACTTATGAATGACGATGATTTGACGCCGGTGGACCCCACAGCACTTCGTATGGAAATCGGTCACCACTTCCTTGCATATATTCGTGGGGCTCACAAGTCACAGCCTCGTTTGGAAATTGATCACCGAACTTACATAATTATCTCCAACATAAATCTGTAGTCTATGGGAAGTGATATTTCCACATGTTTATTTGATTCTTCCACTTAAATTTTTTTTTTTGTTTTGACATCTTTGTCCTTATTTAAATTTTTTAAAAAAACATAAAAATATATAAATGAGTTAGCCGTTTATTATCCATGAAAACACAATGTTTCCTTTTTCTCCATTATTTATCACCTAAAAAAATTAATTCGTGTTTTTATTTATTAATCAAACCAGCCCACTAATTTATTTTCTGAAACTTTGTTTTTTCCTATTTATCATTTAATTATAAAATCTATAAATTTTAACCTGTTTTCTTATTTATCTATAAATATCACAATAATATATAACAAATATTAATTTGTTCCATACCAATGCATAGCAGATAAAATGTTTAAACTAATATATAAAATCACAATAAAATGTTACCTCGATATCTTGGTAGATAAGATGATGTTATGCTTAGTGATCTGTTAGATCTGTCTGTTATATGTTCTGGCTATATGTTTTCCAGTAGCATGTGTTGATGTAGTGTGGTTGGGTTGAGACTGTACTGTTTTGTGCTGCCGGTCAACAAACCCGATAATATTTATATCGATATGTTATATGTATGCTTATTGGTTATATATATGTCGACATGGTTATGTGTGGTTGGGTTGAGGCGGACCTGCTTTGTGATGAAGGCCAACAGACCCAGGGTGTCCCAGATAGACTGAAGGCCTGTGGGGCGTACCAGTTAGGCTGAAGGCCCCGAGAACGTTCCAGATAGGCCGAAGGCCTGGTGAGGCGTACCAGTCATGCTGAAGGTTCTGTGAGCGTACCAGAAAGACTGCAGGCCAGTGTGGCGTTCCAGTCAGACTGAAGGCTCTGTGGATGGACTGTAGGCCGGTGAGGCGTTCCAGTCATGATGAAGGCCATGTATATATGTTGTTATTTGTATATGTTATTTGGTTGGGTGTTGTATTTTGGGGGAATTCACTAAGCTTTGTGCTTACAGTTTTGGTTTATGGTTTCAGGTACTTCAGCGGATCTTGTTTGGGTGAAGGCGTGACCGTACACATCCTCACGTATTGGACTTAGGATTTCTGGGAAACTATGATAATATGAATGTTTTGAAAACTATGTTGAAAGAGATTCTGATTTTTAAATAATGTTTTGGAAACAACGGTTTTTGTAAATACTTCTATAGAAAAATGGTTGTTTTGAAAGGTTTAAATTTTTATGAAATTTTTGGGATGTTACAATAACAGTAAAAAAATTACAACAAAAAAACATGCCTTATAGTAGTTACACAAAAGACGCAAAATTCAGGACATGACAATTTAAGTAGCCAAAACAGCAGCACCTGTATAGGATCCAAAGTTCAGTTTTATAATAGGGAAAATGTAAATTAAACAAATTACTCGTGGGATACCGGTTCATAAATGATTTTTTTGACAATATCAAGGATGTTATTTCCTTGCAGCTCTCCATAATATGGATATGTTCCTCAAAATCTTCACATACTTACCATTGAATACAGAACCTAAAAAGGTTTTAAATGATGTAAATTATAGGAAATAGTTCATTTTCGAAGTAGCACGACTTTCTCAATACAATGGTGAAATAAGACTTTTTTCAAAGTACAATGCTAAAATAGGAAGATTATCCAAGTACATTGCTAGAATATGGCCTAAATAGTACCAAAAATACAAAACGTGGAACATTATTAAAGTACAATGCTGAAATAGGAAAATTTCAAAGTACAATGTTGAAATACGATTTTTTTAAAGTACAATGCTGAAATAGGACCAAGAAATAAACACAAAGAATATAAGCAAACCAATAAAGAGCTTTTAAACCAAGCCTAATGTCTTTACTAAATCCATTTCTTGTTCACAATCCCGAAATAAGAAACTTCTCGAAATAGGATGTTACAATATATATATATATATATATATATATATATATATATATATATATATATATATATATATGT